TAGAGACACAACACTAATTATAATGAATCGAAATCCTACAGAATACGATCGATCTGCTAAATGTAAGCAGCTATACAGGGTATTTTTGGAACGCTCCCGAAAACTAAGACAGGCGACAGCACCAAGTATACCTTTGATCATGGGTCACAAATAAATTTGATCCTGATGAAAAAAAAATCATATTTTTACAACGTTTTATTAGCTTTATTCACGCGCCATCATGTTAGTACAGCTAAATGAATCGATAATTTCATAAAAAAAATCATGAAAATACTGAAACATAAAACCAGCAGTGGAAACTGAATTGATATCACCTGACTAATGGAGGTTAATGTACGCGCGAACGGTGAAAAAAGAACGCTGGCCTTGAACTTGGGCATTGAGCGATTTATCACATATAGGTACGAGGGGGGTGCGACGGGGGATCAATCCGCCAGTATTACTGTGCCTGCATGCTATTGGTTCACGCGCTTTGTTCGCTCCAAAAATACAGTCGCATACACAGCTTACTTTGCGACTCGCGACGATGTTTTAAAAAGGAAGGAAACAAAAATTATTTATATCTATTGTTTTATGACTAAACTAGTGAACGAAAAGGTAAATATGATATGAGAAGGTGAATGGGGAAAATTGTGCAGTAAAGTGTTGAGGGAGAATACCGAAAAAATTACCATGTGATCGACCTGATGACGGAAGCTCAAGCGAAGATGAAAGTGATGATGAAGTAGCATCCAGTAATACCAACACACCATCAACATCTGACTTTCATGTGACCCAAGACGTCATAATGGACGGCGTGTCACCCTTAAGTTTTTTTTGTTACAAACTACTTTATATTTTACGATAGAAATAACAAATAATGCTCAAGTAAACATTATCCATTTTTAATTCCCACCTCTTCCAAAGTTCTAAGTAAATAGTAAAACACCTATTATGATTCCACAATTAAACAATTAATTACTATAATATTATAAAACAATAGCCCAATACCATGTAGTACTTTAGAACGCGACTGTACCCACACTTCCTCCGCTGTCGACCTGTATCTAGCTCGGTACGAAACAATGGTATGCGGTCGGAAGAAAAAAGGGCGCATCTAACAATTTTTGAATAAATGAGTTAAATATACCATGACTCATGATAAGAAGGCGCATCTACTAAATTTTTTTAATATTCACAAATATCAATATTTTAGAAATTATCGTAAGGATTTTAGACGTAACTGTTGATCACAGATGACATCTTTTTATTAGAAAAGACTTCAACATAAAAGAAAAGACTTATTTAACCAGTGGCTACGTCATCTTTAACAATATTTGCATCGATTACTTAAATTTCAATTATTCTTGTCTTTTTATTCTATATCTTATTATTAAGAGCTTATATCTTATTACTAAGAGCTGGTGTTTCACATGTGGTCCCATATAAATTTGATCGAGGTCAGACCAATAGTTTTTGAGTCATCCTTAATTATTTATATTAAAGTCGGTTGTACAAAATTTTTAATTATTATCGTAGTAAGTCTTGTATGATATCCCCTTTAAAATCATTACTCAAGAGTTGCGGGTTGTTATTTTTTGTGTCTGACTACCAATGCTTTTCTAATATTTACTAAGAAAAAAGTAGTAAATTACTATTAGCGTCCTTTCAACTTCAAATGACCTTTCCAAAATATGTAAAAATGTTAAATGAATGGCAGTTTTTTTTATTTATTAGGTTGGGAAGACGCAAATAGTTATATGCGTCTTTCCTTCGATGTTTTTGTGTTGCCAGGTGTATTTTTTAATCTAAGATGAAAAGGAAAATTCGTTTTATTTAAATAAATAAACAAATTATCAAAAAATAAGTTCGTCCTTAAAATCTTCATGTCTCTACGTACATATTTCAATTTTCATATAGATACCTTTTAATATACTTTAGACACGGGGTCTGAAAGAAAAATTCATAAATTTATTTTTTATTTCCATTTTACGTTTTTGTTAGTTGCGTACTTCTTTATTTCGTATGACGGCAGAATGTAACCCGGCCGGCTCATGTCGCCTCGCAGAATGTAACCCGGCCGGCTCGTGTCGTCACGCTGTGACGCAGTAGGTTTCCGTTTATTCGTCGGGGTTCGTTATTAATTGTAGTTTTTGAAACAGTTCCGTGTTGATTTTGTACACGCGTGCGCGAGCGACAGTTCAATCGTTTTGTTTAATAAATTTACTTGTGATTACGTGTTGATATTAAAGTTTTTGTTACGTTTTTGGATTCTTTTTTGTTTTAATAATGCCTAACGCGTACGTTTATAGTGGTCAACATGTTAGGTATCCGAACCTAGGTACACGAAGTATCGCTAAATAAATTGTTAAGACGTCGGGATCGTACAAGTGTGTCATACTGTACAGTGCACAAAGTGTTGAAGCGTAACCAATGCGCCCATACAAATTGCACAAAGTGCAAGCTTTAGTTCCCGGCGATCACGACCGCCGACGAGTTTTCTGCCGTTGGTTATTATACCAGCAACAACGTGTGCCTGGTTCCATTGAGCACATTATCTGGACGGATGAGTCGACATTTACCAGAAACGGCCTGTGGAACCGAAGAAATACACACGTGTATTCAGAGGTTAACCCGCACGCTGTTCGACAAACCGGGCACCAAACCCGATGGTCGGTTAACGTATGGGCAGGTTTATTTAAGGATCGCATACTGGGACCAGTGTTTCTGACAGAGCGACTGAACGGACAGCGATACCTAAACTTTATAAATGAACAGTTGGTTGACATTTTAAACGACCTATCGTTGGCTGAATATCGCCGCACATGGTTCCAACATGATGGTGCCCCTCCACATTTCGTGAGGTTCGTCCGTGAGCGCCTCAATGAGTTATTTGATGATCGCTGGATCGGCAGACTAGGACCACACGCTTGGCCACCTCGCTCACCAGATCTGACTCCGTTAGACTTCTTTTTGTGGGGTATGTAAAAGAAAGGGTTTTTAATCGTGAATGTGATAGTGCTGAAGAAATGCGCCAAAGGATCGTGGATGGTTTCGAGAAACTACGTACGGACTGTGTCGAAGACCACACGATGATGCCCCGCCTGCACCCAAATCTACCTTGAAATGAATGGAGCACAATTTGAGCCGCATCTCATAAGACCACGGAGGATTTAGAGCGGTAAGCTGTTTCATACCTATTTTTTTTTAAATAACTTAGTACTAGACTAATCTGAATAGGTACATAACTGAATACATGAGAATAATAAACATACACGATGAATAAAAACTCATGACTCCAACTTTGGTTACATTTCATTTAAGTATTTTTTCATTAGCGGGGAATCGAACCAGTTATTTGGGTTATTTAACCTGTAAATTCGGATTAAAGTGGCTAAGTGGAGACAAGCACAGTGGCAAAATAGTAGGTTAAGTAGATAAGTAAGGTATTTAGACAAGTGTTGTAAATTATTAGATATTGTGGTTTGGCCCGCTAGTTGCGGGCCGCGCGAATTTGCGTTCGCGCGTACATTGACCTTTCAGTCAGGTGATATAAATTCAGTCATTCCACTGCTGGTTTTATGTTTCAGTATTTTCATGATATATTTTATGAAATTATCGTTTCATTTAGCTGTACTAACATGATGGCGCGTGAATAAAGCTAATAAAACGGTGTAAAAAGTTGATTTTTTTTTCATCAGGATCGAATTTATTTGTGACCCATGATCAAAGGTGTACTTGGTGTTGTCGCCTGTCTTAGTTTTCGGGAGCGTTCCAAAAATACCCTGTATAATATCACAGCTTTACGCTAATCAAACTAATCTCCCCAGCGTGGTATTAGATGTTTTACAAAAAATTGCATATAAGTATTGTCTATTGGGCTATATATTCGAACTAAAAAATGACAATTATAGTAGTGTTTATCTATTACTCTTATTACAATTATTATGCTCAAAAGTGAGTGAGTTTTTTTCTTCGCGCAATTTCCTTGTGGAATCGACTACCACCGACGATTTTTCTGAACCTATACGACTTAAGGACGTTTAAGACAAGAGCTTACTCTTTTTTAAAAGGCCGGCAATGTTGTTTTGCAATTGTTATGAACAATTGTACAAGGTGGCGGTAGTCATTAACCTTCAGGTGAGCCGCATGCTAGCTTGTCTTCTCTTATATAAAAAAGCAGGAATAACTATGTCATGCTTGCAGTATTTATAGATGAACGTTGCTTTTAATTGTGAGTTTCTTTTTAATGTGAATAAATGTATATAAAAAAATCTCGAAAAAAGTTAATTACCCGCAAGAGAAAACATCTTCTGTACTATTCCACCCAACACAAATAACAGCTCCAGCATGTTTTGGATTTTTAAGAGATGAAGCTTTTAATCTCATTTTTATAGTTTTATTTCTGATAAATTTCTATTTTATTAACTAAGCAAAAACAAACTAGCAAAGCAGTTAAAATATCGAGTCAATAATAATCACATGGATGTTATTGTTTTACCGGTAACCATAGAAACTAAGGTGTTGCTATTGTGGTAAACTATATGTTGTATGTCTAAGCCAAAGAGAATATAATCACTACGTTTAATCTAGGCCCTATTTTTTTAAGTTCTAAATAGAAAAAATGTATTTCAATAAAAATGTTAAATAAATAGAGTTCATACACAATTTATGTTAACAGAATGTTACTATGCTAAGTTCGTCTATTGGAACAGATCAAACCAAAGAGTTAATAAAAGTTAAGAGTATAATTTATTCAAAAAATTAATTAAGCGACGAAGAAATTAGAGTGAATCTGCCTATGGTAATATTTTATCACTACTTTTGGGTAAGTGAAATTTTTGCATTTGAACTAGCAACAAGCACTACTTTGTTGTCATTGTCAAATGTCAATGTCATCGATGACATCTCTGTCATTTGTATTTACCGCATGGCGCATGGCAATAGATAGTGTGTGAGTTCTTGGATTGTGTTTTTACACTAATAAATTGTGAACATTCAGACAGTTTTGTTAATATACTATGTCTGACGTTCCGGATCTTAGCAGTGATGAAGATTACGACGAAGAGGAATGGCAGGAAATGGACGCTAATAACCAGTCAGTAACATGTTTGTTTTGCACATCTGTTCTGCCTACAATAGAAGAATGTGTCTCACACTGTGAAAAAGACCATAACTTTAACCTGAGCGCCCTAAAATCAAAGTTTAACATGGATTGCTATTCTTATATAAAGTTAATAAATTATATTAAAACACATAAACCAAAAGCAGAAGAAATAATGAGTTCTAGTACAGCTCAATGGAGTGACGAAAAGTATTTAAAGCCTGTTGATAACGATGAATGGTTAATGTTTGATTTTGAATCATTACCTGAAAATGTTAGCCCTCCTAAATCTTACCACGCGAATGTAGAAAATGGATTAGTTACATTATCACAAGCACATTTTCTTGAGCTTCAGAGGACAATACAAAATTTAACCGAGCAACTCAAGGAGTCACAGACTCATCTTCAGATGGCTAGGGAAGATATGCATAAGATGCAAAGTTCAATGAAAACAATTGTGGAAGGAAATGCCGATGCCGCGTGTAATGACAGTTCAATGATTATTGATTGTGTTTCCAAAGTACCATTAGAATGCGATGAGGGATATTTCAGTAGTTATGCTCATTTTGGTATTCATTATGATATGCTCTCTGACAAAGTTCGCACTGAAAGCTATAAAAATGCTATACTTCTCAACAAAGATACTTTCAAAGATAAAATAGTCCTTGACTTAGGCTGTGGAACTGGTATTCTATCTATGTTTTGTGCAACAGCCGAATCTAGGATAGTATATGCTTTAGATCAATCAGAAGTCATTTACCATGCCATGGATATTATAAGAGAAAACAACTTTACAAATAAAATAAAAACTATTAAAGGTAGACTTGAAAATACAAAACTGGATGAAAAAGTAGACATTATTGTTTCGGAATGGATGGGCTACTTTCTACTATTTGAAGGGATGTTAGATAGTGTTATATATGCTAGAGATAACTGTTTAAATCCTGGTGGTATTTTATTACCTAATCGGTGTAATATAAGTTTGGTTGCAAATGGAGATATTGATACACACAAGAAACTTATTAACTTTTGGTCAGATGTTTATGGATATAAAATGAACTGTATGAAATCGGAAGTAGTTAGAGAAGCTAGTGTTGAAGTGGTTGCATCAAAACACATTATTTCTGAGCCGTGCATTGTAAAAGATATTGATCTGAACACATGTAATACTAACATAGTAGACTTCACATCACCATTTAAACTATGTGTCACACAAGATGGGTTTGTTACATCGCTCGTTGGTTATTTTGACACATTTTTTGACTTACCAACTCCAGTGACCTTTTCAACTGGTCCTCATACTGTACCAACCCATTGGAAACAAACTATATTTTACTTTAAGGATTGCAAGGAAGTGAGGAAGGGAGATTTTATAGAAGGCACAATCACTTGTAGTCGGTTAAAAACTGATGTGAGAGGACTTTCAGTGCAAATAAATGTGTTTGGTAAAACTCATAAGTATATTCTCAGTTAAAGCCAATATGTTTTAAATTAATTGTGAGCATAGTTTCAATGGGTTATTTTTCTATCATGTTTGGCTTATTCTGTCAGTGCCTAAATGTATGATGAGTTATGATATAAATATCAGTCTATTGTAGCTTTATTTCTTTATAAGTAATAAAGTGATGTGCAGTTAAAACATGTAAACATGTATTTGCTAAGCAGATATTACAGTCTTTCTAAATCCTTTTCTTATAAGAACTATGTCACATTAATGTGATTCTAAAATAATAAAAATATGCTGTGTTAGTACATAAGATTAATGAAAATACAAAAGTTTCTACCAAAATCTTTATTTCATTTTACACATAATTTTAATATTAATAGTATCTGATTCCTTATTATTTACAAATGAAATAATTTATTGTTAATAAAAGTAACTTAAAAGTATTGAGATTTCACACAAAAATTATACATAGAAAAAAAAAAACATGTTAGGCAAATCCACAATAATTTGCAATATAATTTTATCTATTCTATTTACATATACAAGCTTAAATATATTATTGTGGATGGATATGTAAAGAATTATAATATAGTGATGCAAATGTCTAACTGAAATGCTTTAAATAAACCAACAATATGTTGATTATTTTTCATTTCATAAAATATAGCCAACACATAATACATTGATGCAAAAGATTTTTTTTTAAATATGACAATTCTATATGTTATGGAATGTTACAAACAACATTGAAGATGTTAGTTCTATTTATATATTTAGTTTAAATACCTTAAAAGTTATACAAAATTGGACATATAACTACACAATATATTAAAGTGGCAATTTGTATTTCATTAGAATTCTTTTAAGGCAAGAAAGTAATTTAGTGGAATGTTGAGGTATTTATTCCATTCCTTAACAATTTCTGGTTTACATAATGATTTCTTATATTTACGCGAACACTACACATTTTTAAATAAAACTAATTTTACGGATTTTATCGCGTATATTAACTTATTTTATTACAGCAGGAAAGCACCCGAAACGTCGGGAATATAAAAATAAGTTAATATACGCGATAAAATCCGTAAAATTAGTTTTATTTAAAAATTTCTGGTTTTCCAAGCTATAACAGAAACAAGAAACATTGTTAAGAAAAATACGACAATGACCCCTTAAAGGCTATTTTGCAACAAATTGATTGTACACTTGAAGATTATTATGGTATGGGTGAATTTAGAGCTAACGTGTCATGTTGTTCAATATTTTTCGAATTGATTTTATTTTAAAATCTTATATTATAATTAATTATATAAAACTTTCACACGTTTTACAAAGACCCTTAACAATTAATATGAAATCTTGACTACACTGTAAAAATTATCTATAAAGTGATATTTATAGGTTGATTAAGCATTATTGATTCTGATATTTATGATAGTAGTCAATCTGACATGAGAATATCATAAACATCTACTTAGTGGTGGCATAAGGGAATCAATTACCCTATACCTATACCCTTCCAGTTATATTTGCTATGCTAATTGTGTCATTACCCCAAATTGTCCCAAATGAGTTGGAAGAAAAATACTGAAAGTTCATGTGATCTCCAAAACATGGCATTATTGTCATGTTTTATTACGCCAGTTATAAAATGGGACTTGTGAGCTTAGGGCTTCGATATGGGGAGCGGTCAATAGTGTAGGATAGAATCTCTTATACCCCTTCCAAACAGCTATTACAACAAATATTTTCATTATAGGAAAGACCCGCGTCTACCTATTAACTAATAACGCGTTGATGATAATGGGTCAATGAAAAATACCAGTTTTGTTATAGGTTGTTTTAATTAAGAGTAAACATCATACAAAAAATTAAAATAACATTCTTGATGTATTCGGTCAAATAAAATAAAATGTTTAGGTATTATTTCACTTTTGATTTTGACAAGAAGCCATAATTTAAATTGGTTTACGCTAATCTACACGTTTATAAAGCTATATCCCCAATAATAATGGCGTCAGTAATCTACTTATTTATGGTGGGCTACTCTTATGTCTAACATTCTGTAGATACTCTAAATGCACAATATACAGATTTAATTTATATATCTATTGCTTAAATAGATGATAAATATATAAAAGATCTATTGTAAAATTCTCTACTATAAGCGTCACCAGTTGGATTATAATCTACCCTTACCATCCCTGAAATCATAGATAGGGACCTAAATATAGCATGATTATGGATTTGATTTGATATTCAAAGAGAGTGGTCCCACGTACCTACCTGCACAACTAGGCCTCCGATAAGAGTGTATAATATAATGATTATTTCAGTGTAAACATTTAGTTTCATCAAAAATTTTGGCACCTGTGAAAATACACATTAAGTGTTTTTGTCAACAGAATACCCTTATTTTTCATGCCAAAAGATAGTCTACAAGAAGGACGGTATATTCATACTGGGTCCTTTATAGTTTGACTTTCCACACAAGCCCAAGTCCTGCTCTACATAAATTCCCTTGACCTTCAGTCTGATTTAATAGATGTATTTATAGAAATTAATTTGAGATAAGTGCTTTGAGCGTGATTGTTTATGACATTACAATGTATAGGTAATACACAAATATATCTAGGTACTTTCATTTCTTACTTATTCTGTAAATGATCAAAAGAGCTTTTAATTCCTCAGCAAGAATAGTTCCGCAATAGCATAATAATGCTCTACCTATAACTAATATTTGAGATTGTGATATTAGTCTTTAATAAATAATTTCACGTATAGACAACACTTGGTCAGGGAATATCAGAACTCCAATTTTATCGGAAACATTAAAATTAATAAGCGTATTTTTCATATGGGTTAATTTTTAAAACTAATTATACGATACATTACATTTATATTAAATACGTTAAATATGTTTGATTTCTAGGAAATGTATGTTTGCTCCATTACCAGCAACTTAATATAGGTACACTTTAGTCTCTTAACATCTAGGTATTATGTGTGCTAAAGAATGTGAGTAGTTCACTATAAACACTAATGACAATGCTAATTACACAGCCTTTGATCTATTGCGAGACGCACGACTTTTCATATATACATAATTAATAAAAATTAATGATTGTTATTTGCAAATAAATTGATATAATTTACAATAGTAAAATCACAAGTTTTTATTATTGTTTGTGATATTTCTATTGTTTTGGTATCTAGTTTGGATGCATAAATACTTATAAAATATATGTAGGTATATACATATACTATAAACATAAAAACGAAAAACTAAAATATATAAGTACTTAATAGAATAAATGCAATAAAATGTAGTACGGTTCAGTGCGGGTGGCACGCCAGGCGTGCCATCGATTACTTTTGTGTGTGGCGTATGACACGCGAGTCGTGTCTTTTTTAAACTCGCTCAAATTGCTTTTGTTGGAAAAATTTATCCAGAACAAAATATTCATTATTTTGCAAGTTGTTCGTGCCTGCGGCTTCGTTTCTGGATATTTTGAAAATTTGATATTTTTAGGGGTTGAAAACCTTTTTTTAACTTGTACATGGTACTCTTTTTACTTTGTGGGTTTTCAATCATGTTGTGGGAAAATAGTCTAATAAGTAACAAATAATAGCAGTCATTGAGATCGCTCACAAACTCGAGTTGTAAATAAATTTCTAGAAAACAAGTCTCCTGTTAAAAAAAAACAATGCGTTTGTCTTATTGTTTAATTTTGCTTAAAATGGTTGAACTGCCGTCATATTACTATCATATGATCGAATAGACCTACGAAGTACCATGTGCTCTTGTGATATGGTATAAGGTTTATTTTTGCTTGAAACAGTTCGAAACCGTTCATGCATAAAAAAAGTTCGCTAATAAATAGTCTTGTCAATCAATGGCGTTTGTTTCCTTTTGAAAATACTTGTTTTGCTAATCTAATCTCACTAATTAGACGTTTTCAGATCGACATTAGTTTTACATTTGTATAACATCAAATAATATTTAACATTTGTAAATATCAATGAATCATAAACCTTGGTTTTTTCCAAATTGAGAATCTTGATTGTTTCATATTTATAAATGTTATTATAAGGTGAAAATTTAATTGAATAAGGACCATGGTTTTCCAGGGTGATTTAGCTGTACCTACTTATATAAATGATTTTTTTTATAAAACAAAAAAATAGTACAAAAGGTTTGTAATCTCTGCATAAAAGAGTCACTCTCAATTTCAAAGAAAACGCATAGAAAAACACGTAGTTACCCACTAAAAACAAGTATCCTTCCGTTTGTAACTGATGTTTGATGTCAAATAAACTTAATTAGGTCTAAACAAGTAAAAAAAAGCATAAAAAAGAACATTACTTTTACACGTGGCTGGCGCTTGACAAGACAGGCGTGTCATGAAATATTTGTTCGCCGCCACAGCTAAAAGTTGTCGAATATCGGTGCTGCAACGAATCGGTATAAATAGAAAGAACTCAATCAGACGGAATTCCTCGGTATGGAAGACCAAATGGCCGAGGGTTAGGGGGTAAGGGGAAAGAATCGGTGGACCTTGCAGACGGTATTGAGGAGTACCGCCTTCTGCATCCTGAGCCCGGAATGGTCCGACTCTTATTATTCGGATACTACAAAAGTAGTATTATCGTCAGGTTGTAAAAAAGGATGATAAATAAGAAAAAATATATGTTGAATATAATACTAATACAAATAAAATAAATAAATAAAAACCTAACCAGATGGAAGCCCTCGGCAGGGCAGACCAAACGGCCGAGGGTGGGTTAGAAGGAAAGAGAAAGAAACCGGCGGACGATGCTGACGGTATCGAGGAGCACCGCCTTCTGCATTTGAGCCGCGCTGAGCGGTTCGTCACGAAGTCCCAGTCGCCTCAGATGGCCCGAGAGGCTGACCGAGATTAGCCCGTTCGCAGAAACGACCACAGGAATAATTTCGGTCGGCAGACCACCCCACATGTCGACCACCTCGTGAGCCAGGTCCGTATATATTTTATATGTTTATCTGT